CTCTGACAAATTAGCCATCAATAGACACATAGACATTAACATCTATAGACTATGCAAAAGAGACAATCAACCATCCAAAAGGGGAACAAAAAAGATCCAAGCACTTCTCCACCAGTAATCAGCACCCAGATCAGCATAGATTAACTCCAAGGTTAACAGACCAAGGATCAAGTAAACAATACCTCAATCAAGAAACTGCCTAAGAAGCCAACAGTAAACAGTCCAATCAAAAAACCTTTAAAACCACCACCACCATCACAGACAGGGCAAGCCACCAGAATATAAACAGAGAGCAAACCCCACTCCTTCCTAGCAGGAATGATGTTACCTAGTAATGAAACATCTGCAAGAAAACAAACAAGCTCAGAGAGCACCAAGGACCCTCCAATTTCAACTCTGAGCTAGAAATATTCTCTTTTTATTGGTCTTTTTGCTTAATTACCACGTTTTATTATAATGTCTCAGCAAGAACAATTCAGCTGGTTGTCATTCTACATATTTGTCTACAAGGTACACCCTATGAAGTAAGTCCCGTTTAATTCACTGTTGCTCAAATAGAAGAAAAGAGGCTTCAGATTTTATTCTTTTGCTTACATATTTTCTTTGTCTCCTAAATTCTACATTTTTAGCGTTTTGTAAAAAAAAAAAGTTTATTCCCTTTATCCCTGTTTGGTATTCTGTACATTAATGTTTAGAGTCAATGTGACATATGTGACATTATTAATTTTCCTCAGGAAATAATTGAAATACCAACATTTTCAGATTAAAGATATGCTTAGCAAAAATAATAATTTTAACTTTTATACTTTAAATGGGCACAACTATGTTGAGGAAACAAATAGAAATATTTATTTAGGACTAAGGCTGAATCCAGATATAGCACATTTTAAGAGAAAATAATTTGCCTAGTCACAGAAGACAGTTAAGTATCTGTCATTTAATGCTATTTAATGACAGCGGTCGATTTATGTAATTTTGTATACATAAACAATTGACCAGTGTTAGTAAAAGTATATGATCTTTGCTTTATAATGGAAAATGCTATCCATATTTAAATAAAAATATAGACCAGAAGAAAATAAATATTTGTAAGAAAAACTATTCAATTCCCTCTTCAAGCAAGGAATGCTCTATTGTATGGAAAAGGTATATGAAAAGACCTTGGAAGAATGGGCCAAGGAACGCTGCCTAAGGAATGATCAGATGAAAGGCAGCATAATCTGCAACTGGATAATGTGTTATGCAAGAGGCCCAGAAGAGTCTTCCCTAGTTTCTTGCTGCAAAGAGAACAAAGGGAGAATTGCACTTTAAGACTTGCTGAAGACTCTGCTAATGTTGCTTTATGGTTTATAATATAATAGAATTAGCTTCATCTGGTCCTGTGTCGTGTCTGGTCTACCTAGTAAGACTGAAAGATATGTTCAGTAAAATTAAGATATTTGTATACATCAAGGATGTAGAACCTCCTCACCCAGGCTTCCAGGCTTCCACCAAACGATTCAGGGCCACTGCAGACTGATGCACTTGCTTACAGATAGCTGTCGGCCTCTGGAAGTGGTTTGAATTGATTAAGACCCCAATCTTTGATTTTATACTGTAATCCCCAAGTTGTTTTTAAAGGTTAGATTTTCCCCATTTTATAGCTTCGTTATGCAGCAATGTATAATTAAGTATAACTAAGATATACTGTAAAGTTCTTAGAACATTAGTGAAAATAGTTCTCCCCCCCCCCCCACTTTATCCCTAATTGCACATTTATTATTATAGTAATATTCAGCAAGAAAAGAGAAGATTGCTGGGCAAATAGAGGCATAAGAGGGAGCTCAGTAAAGACTTAAATAAGGATTTTTGTTAAAGTTTGATTTTGTTATTTCTGGTAGGAAAAAGGATTTCAACATTGTAAGAATTCCAACTACCTATAAGAATTCCAGCCTGAGGTTACAATCGGAAACATTATTCTCCTATTTAATATTGAGGTTAAAATTTACATATATTCATTGGAAAAAAAAAAACTTCAGCAGTATAAAAAAAAAGCAAATGAGTTTTTGGGACATTATCTGTAAAATCTTCCCATGAACAAGGGGCTGGAGTAATATTAATGTTAGTTGCAAGTTTGTAAAGATATTCCAGTTTGGGGTCACTTTTAAGAGCCATTCAGTTTCACAGACAGCATTGTAATTAATATTATAAAGGCTCAGCCACGTCTTTTAATTAAGGCAACAATAGCAGATACCCACCAAACTGCAAACTACTCTGCTGACACTGGAAATGGAACTCTTGTTTGAATGCTGGTGTCCCATGCAGATATACGGTATGGCAGGCTAATTCCAATTATGTTTTTAGAAAGGGAAACTTCTCACTGAATGGGTTGCTTGCCTTCTTCCTTCACATTAACTTTTCTGATAAGCTCTAATGCAAATTTAATACACATAAAGCATAAAAAAGGCACTATAAGACATTGAAAGAGGGAAGGGCCATATTTTTAAATATCTTTGGCAGGACACACAGCACATAAACCCCCATTTGGAAGTAGTTTTTGTAGATTTGCCAGATTTGAGAAGGGAACGAGTTGCTGTAGCTTCAAGTTTCACAGGGGAGAAGGGGCAGAGATTGTTCATCCCTACAAACAGCCATATTACAGGTAGTCCTTGACTTGCAACCATTCATTTAGTGACTGTTCAGAATTACAATAAAAGGGACTTACAATCAGTATTCACATTTACAACCATTGCAGTATCCCCACTGGCCATTTATCAAAATTTAGATGCTTGGCAACTTACATGTACTTATGACCATAGCAACATCCTGTGGTCATGTGATCACCATTTACAATCTTCCTAACTTCTTTTCCAGTAAGCAAAATCAATGGGGGAACCTGGACCTTTAAATGACTGTGTGATTAACTTAACAACCGTAGCAGAAAAGGTCATAAAACTGGGCACAACTCTTTTAACAACCACCTTGCTTACAATGGAAATTGTAGGTGTAAGTCAAGGACTACTTGTATACAAGTCACTAATGCCCTTCTTTCATTTGGTATGGCAGTTGAAGTAGACAGAATCAGTTGAAAATGGACCGCTTAGTTCGGAGGCATTCAGGAACTGTTTCTGCTATAAATGTTGCGGAATATGCTGCCACCATCAACTTTCAAGATTGAAATGATAACATAAAATATTCTGTGAGAAATGAAAGACAGTCCATGTGCTTCAAGACCTTCCCCTGGAAATTATCCCAGTGTGAGCTTTGACCAAACCAAAACTCCAATAGCATTCATCATCTTTATATGAAGGGAATAGTACAAACACATTACAATTTATGAGTACTTTTACAGAATAAGATTGCTAACATCCCAAATAGTTTATCTATATAAAAAGAGGCAGACATTAATGGAGTAAACAATTCAATATGGCAGCACAAACTGCAGCATTTAATCATGATTAAGACTCTTGTGATATTTTGATGTATAACTTCACTTTCAGAGCAGGACTTTTCAGGACTTTCAGAGCAGACACTGAGCTCGTAGCACTCTTCAGTGTATGGATTGCCTCTGGAATTGAGAGAATATCAAGCAGAAGACATCTTGATTCATGACGTACTTTGAGGGTGTGCGAACATCAATAATGAATATAGTAGCAAATTTGGCTATCAGTAGGAAGAGCACTTAGAACACCATTAGGCTCTTAAATAATTCAGTGGCAATATAGAGCTATGAAATTGTAATTTTGTTTAGTACTGTTTTCTGGTATTAGAAGTAAAAGGAGAATCTGGAAGAAGAACAAAAATCTTCCGCTAGTTCAAAGCTGTATCACAGAATAATATGAATTTGGGAAGAGATTATTATTCCCAGAAATATATTTGGAGGAGGCACTAGTTTTTAGTTTCTTATACTAAAACCAGACCAGACTTTCAGTTCTTGTCAATACATACCTGACATGTAATGTTCAGCACCACCAGATCAGTTGGATTACCAGACTTTATTTTTTTTTATGAGGGGAGAGATAAACAATCTTTTAATTTATAAGGTTTTGCATCCCTTTAGGCCTCACCTGATCCTGCACATGTTTATTTTTAAACAAATTATTTTTCATCTAGTATAGTAATTATAATTGTATTATAATTACTATTTCCTTTCTTACCATTTTTCTTTTATCTCCCCATTTCATCCATTACTTTCACTTTTTGCTAACTTTGTTGTGCTATCATTCAGCCACAGAAAATAATTTAAATAATAATCACATTCAAGGAAGCATCTATTTCTTGCAGAATTTCTGGCCGGTAGTTAAGATTCACAAGATCATCTATGAATTTAAAAAATTAAGAGAGAAAATTTCACACTGAAGATCAACCAAGATGATTTGGAATTTTGAACAGTTCATTGAAGAAGGTAAAGAAGGAGTAGTAGTAGTAATAATTCAGTCACAAAAACCTAAAAAAAGTGCTATGCAAAACATTTTGATTCAATCCTGTACCTACACCTTCAAGTGAATATAGAAATCAAAATTCTTCTAAAACAGCTGAATAATTTTAGCTTGCAAGTAGCAGCCATTTCTAATCTCATACTGTGGGTTTTTCTTACTAGCAGCTGCAAATAGTATGCCTTCCCTTCCCCTTGTAAACATAGGTATGATCTAATTCAGGTCATAAATAGCTTTTATTTTAACCAGTGGCAAAATTACTTTCCTATTTGAAATTTCCTTATGAGCTCTAGAAACTCAATGGTTTCCAAATGTTTAATAAAACTAACATGAATTTTGTTGGTAGCTCATTTATACCTGCTGTACTAAATGAAAATGCCAGTGTACTGTAGGTATAAATTAGAATATTTTTTCCATCATCTACACATGCATTTACATGCAACTAAAATATATGGACTCATACAAGTGCCTTTCTTCCGGACTAATTTATTTTTAAAAAAATAATTAAAGGGTTTTCAAAATGTCCATGCCTTGATATGTATGATTGAAAGGATTACTTAGCTTTGAACAAAACCAACAAAATAGTTATTTAAGTTTGACATGAGGAAGGCTGAGAACATCTGTGCTGTCTCCTGGCTTGCAAATACTTTGAGATGATCTTGACATTCCAGTCCTTAGAGAGTCAGTAGAGAGAGTTGTTTCCACTAATGGGTGGGTAATGGCTTCAAAAGTTTCATTTTCTCCCTCTGTTTCCAAATCTTCATCAGTTATAAATAATTTTGATTCCCTCCATTTGCTATATAGTTCTTGACTACTTCTTGAACTACTGGTATCACTTCCAGAAATCTGTAGATTCAGTTCTTCAGCTGTTGACTGTATAAGGTTTTGTACTGACAGTGATTTTCCTATATCCATTTGTACCATTGGTTTCACGGAGACTAGAGGTTCACTCTCTGTATCAAGGCTTTTTCTCCACGAAAGATCCTTTGTCACACTGGACTGTGCAATTTGTCCATTATCCTTTGAAGCAACAAGGCAAGTGGTGACATCAGAAGTATTTTCCTGTGTGTTAACAGAAATAAAATTAATAGGCTCCAGCCTATTGATATGCTTTACTGATGAAAAGGGGGGTATCTGTAATGTAGTGGGTGCTGTTGGTTTAGATGTCTGGTTTATTTGGTTTAGTGCATTATTAGCGGACAGAGTTCCAGGTCCATCGCTTGGCACCTGTGTGGCTTGACTATGCATAGATGGACTAAAGGCATAGTAAGCTTGAGTGTTGAATTCATTTGGTGTCAATATAAGCTGTAGGCCACAAGGCATGTTGACACTGGCTGATCTGGAAACAGATCCACTAGTCTGAGCAGAATTAGACAAATCTTTACTATCTACAGGACTCTGGTAACCAGAGGTTTGATCACATTCAAAAGGCGGCATTTGAAACGAAGCTAAAGTCAATGCAGACACAGATCCTTTCTTCAAAACCTGTTGATAAATGTCTAGTAACGAATCTAATTTTGATTCAATAGATTGCACCTAGAGATAGAAGAAAAAAAATTATTTAGGATCATTGATGTTCATAAACTAAGATTCATGCCATTAAAATAACATTTATAACATACAGTACACATTTCATCATGTATGATATAGTTATATGCAATTATATATATAAAATCTTTAATCACAAAATAATATATTGCAAAGAAAAATTTGAATTTTGATCAATCATTACATGATTATTTTTGCAAAAGATATTTTTTATGAAAAATACATGGTTCAAGTTATTTATTCCAACCAACCCCTAATAAATTATACTAAAATCATGCAAATTCATGAGATATTTCTACATAGCATGTACGATATGAATTGCGGCCATCCAGATTTATTCTGTGTATATTTCATAACAATAATACAATGACAAAATTGTGCAAAATGCCATTGACACTGGAGTTCAGTAAAATAATTTTATAGAATCATATTATTGCATGAAAAAAATGGGAATTAGCTAGCAAATATGAACAATGAATTTTATTCCTAAAATTGTTGTTCAGTAACATAAGGATGCCTCATGCTCTTTTAAGTTGTATTACCTGTTTTTCCACCTTCACTACACGCCCTAACATGCTGAGGTCATCAGTTGTCTCATTCTCTACAGTATTTTTCTCTCGAGTTCTTTTATCAGTGGTAATTTGTCCCCTTCCAAGAATCTGATCAACCCTGCAAGATAATTAAAAATAGAAATATTCATAAAAGGCTTAAAAATGCAATAATTTGGGGCCTAAGTAAAATATATTTTTAATTATTGGGCAAACATATACTTACATTTTTATTTAGGGCAGATATATTAACATGACTATTTTAATACTTTCCATTGTGATCCATGCTAAATGTATGTATGTAATCTAAACAGTTTGTCTAAATGTGACGAAGACTAACGAATGTGTTTGTTACTGCCGAATATAATACTCTGTTACTGATGAATTGTTAATGTTGTCAGATTTTTTTCTCTGAGTGTGCTAAGAAGGAACTGCCAAAATCAGCTTTCAGTGGTCAGAATTGATAAAGTTTAATCATACTAAAAAAGTTTTAGTAGATATAAATCAGGTTGTAAGAAAGAAGGGCACAGCAAGGAAAAATAATGGAATGGAATAAGAATAAGACTAGGAATAGCAGTAGGAGTAGGAATAGAATAGAATAGAATAGAATAGAATAGAATAGAATAGAATAGAATAGAATAGAATAGAATAGAATAGAATTAAATTCTTTATTGGCCAAGTATGATTGGACACACAATGAATTTGTCTCCAGGGCATAAACTATCAGTGTATATACAAGCAACTAGCGATAAATCATGATCACAATAATAAAATACAGTCATCATAAATCATAAGATACAACACTCAGTGAAATCATAGAGTACTAAATAATCAATCAATATAAATGATAATAGGATACTTAATAAAAGTAATCAACATAAATCATGAGATACAAACAACAAAGTTACAGTCATAAGAAGCTAAGGAAATGGGTAACAAGAAAGATGAGAAGGATAATAGTAATAGTAATACCGCCCTACTAGGTGATTTAACATCTCAGGGCATAACACAGTGTTGTGGGAATTAGTTGTTTAGCAGAGTGATAACATGGGGGGGGGAAACTGTCTTTGTGCCTGGTTGTTTTGGCATGCAATGTCCTATAGGGTTGTCTTGCAAGAAGAAGTTGAAACAGTTTATGTCCAGGATGTTACGGGTCTCACATCCTGGACATAAAAGAATGAAATATGACTATTATATAAAAAATGAAAATTAAATTATGAAAAAACCGAAGAAATATGACTACCACAAAAAAATTAAGTATCTTGAAATATATGACTCAGTTTATGTGATACTACAAACGGATTTTACATGATAACACTCCTTTATAAAAGGGCTTTTTTTGTCCTCTTACCGAGACTGAAGACTTTTAATTCTACACAGCATATCCAGATGACCTGCTGAATACTGTTCAATGACATCTTTGACATCATAGGGACGTAAAGTTTCTTTAAACTTCCTTTTGGCAACGTGAAATTTCATGATTCTATAGAAGCAATATTGTCTCAAATCAGTAATTCGTATATTTTTTATACATTTAAAAAACTGGCAATAATTCATTCTGATGGGGTTACATTCAAAATACTGTATACACTGAACCAGATTCTAAACTGGTTATAAATGCTAATTTTTCTTCGATTGACAACCATGCAAAAAGTATTTAAGATATAAACATCTGTAATTGCTTTGACAATTAATGTTGCCTGTGCAAACCGTCCAAGTAGTTGGCAAGAACTTCCCAATTAACTTCATGAATTTTTCTATGAACATTCTTACCTTGAAGAACAAATGCAGTACTGCTACAGCATGAGAGAAGATCATGTAGAGATCTAAACACTTTTATTTATACTCATTTCAAATATTACATCTCAAATCATTCAATCAGGTTCTGCTAGGGAAGCTGTGAGAGCGCCAGTCATAAGTCATTTTTGGTCAGTGTTGTCATAACTTCAAATGATTGCTAAATGAATGGTTGTAAGCGTAGGATTACCTGTATCTTAACAGCTTCACCAATCACATTAGACATGTGAATTGTGAAATGTTATATCCAATCAAATACTTTGCTGCTGTATCCAATCTCACATATACAGTACTTTAATTTGCATAAATTTGTTCAAAGGGACTATAATCCCTTCTTTCTTTGGGCCTGCCTTTGTCTCCAGCACTATCAATAAGCCAACCCAAAGTGGTTTGACTCTAATGTTTTACATGCATCATAATGCTCCTGAAATTTTCATAAGCTAAGATGTAGGTAAAGGTTTCCCCTGTCCAGTCGTGTCTGACTCTAGGGGGCTATGTTTCTTAGCCAAGGGAGCCAGTATTGTCTAAAGACAATTCATTGTGGCTTGCATGACTATACAGTATGCCGAGGTGCATGGAACACTGTTACCTTCCCACTGAAATGTTACCTATTTATCTATTTATTTATTTATTATGCTTTTGAACTGCTAGTGGGCAGGAGCTCACCCCGTTGTGTGGCGCTTGGGTCTCAAACCTGGGCTCTCAGCTTTCCAGCTGACAAGCTCTGTGTCTTTAAGTGGTGAGCCATCGCTAAGATTTAAGTTTATTTATGGATTGAATTTCTTATTAATAATTAATCATTATCACATCCTTATTTAAACTACCAGAATTTTTATTTCATTACTTTTTGCCACTGATTTTTTTAAAACTATTCTAAAACAGAATCCCTGAATATACCTCTCTAAAGCATTCCCTTTTCGATTTCCACTCACTGAAATAAGAACAATCTTCAAGGCTTGGCTGCTTAATAATCATAGAAAAGAAAAAAAGGAGGAAATCAGTCATGACATATATCTTCTCAAGCCTTTTGCATGGAGTATAATAATATAAGTGCCTGTTTTATTGATCATTTAAGCAAGATGGAATGGATTGATATAACATCCACTATCTTAGCTAGTGTAATATACCAGGGATGGGCTATTAATTTCCCCATGGGGCCACATGAGAAATTGGGACCATTGTGGAGGGCTGCCACTCCATCCTGCATGCTGCACTGACACCCTGCCTGACACCACCATCACACCGATGGCCCACCACTGCTGCCACACCACCCAGCCGCTGCTGTTGCCACTGGCCAGGCAGGGATGTGGCTGGATGTGGTCTGGGAAGCTGTGAAGTGCCCAGGTCTGATATATAATAAATTCAGTTTCCACATCAATGTTTAAGTGATGTTTAGTACATCATATAATCACAGATTCTTAGCAATGGAAAGGAACTTAAAGGTCATCTCTTGTCCAACCCCATTCAGTTTTTTTGTTATATTATCTGTTTCCAAAAATACTTGTAGTGTTAAAGTCAGACTATGCTAATGAGATCAACAGGGGTGCTTCTTAAGGGTGCATTTTTCTTACCTGATAGCTCGGACAACTGTTTTAAGTGCTGGAGTTAGATCTTCTACCGATACATCACACTGGCATCCTCTTTCATCATATAGGTCATCAGCACCAAGATTGGCATCAGCTTCAAGAGAAAAAAATGACATAAATAGTATGTACAGCTATAGAATACAAATCTATATTAACGAATTTAATAATTGCATCAGTTGAATATAAAATACAGTAAGGGAAACTGAACCAATGTAATATGAAAGGGTTTCATGACAAACAATATGGTTGCAGGGACAGTCCAGGGATGAAGTCTCATCCCATCAACCACCTCTAGCAATAAGCGCCCCTCGGGGCTTCAAGCCAACTGGCAAAAAAGCAAGTTTTAGTCATCTTCGAAAAGGCCAAAAGCATGGAGGCAGTTTTCACCTCCGGTGCAGTGCATTCCACAGGGCAAGATTGGAAGCACAATGGAAAAGGATCTTCTCCTTGACCCCTGCCGGCTGGAATTCCTTAGCAGACGGGGGTCTGTTGTAGCAGACCATTTCCACTGGCTCAATTGGGGCAGGTTAGTCCCATTGGGGTGAGAGATAGCTCCTCAGATACCCTGGACCCAAGCCATATAGGACATTAAAGGTAATAAACACCTTGAATTGGACCCAGAAGCAAATTGGTAACCAATGCAGCTTGCAGAACAATGGTATTACAGGAACTGTACATGCTGTTGCATTTTATACATGCTGCAGCTTCCAAATGCTGTTTAAGGGTAGCCCCACATAGAGCAACATTGCAATAATCCAATAAAAGAGCATGAGTGACTGCGCATAGGTCCTTACAATCCATTAAGAGCGCAAATGGCAGACAAAATAAAGTTGCACAAGGGTTGTCCTAGCTATGACTGCCACCTGCTCTTTGAGCAGGAGTAGCGAGTGCAGGAGAACCCACAGGTTGCATACTAGGTTTGTTTGGGGTAGAGCAACCCCATCCAGATCTAAAGAAGATAAACTGGACTTTTGCACCCAAAGCTACTTTGTCTTGCCAGGGTTCAGTTGAAACCTGTTGTTCCCCACACCCAGACCTCTATAGCCTTCAGGTACTGAAAAATGGCAGTCTTGCCTGGATCATAGGGGATAGAGATATAAAGCTGTGTATCATCAACATGCTGATATTCCATCCCATGGAGCCAGGTGATCTTATTCAGCAGTTTCATGTAGATGTTAAAAAGGAACAGAGATTGTAAACCCACAAAGGAGTGGCCATGGGTGTTACATATTTACATAGTCACCTCTGATTGGTTGGTCTGCGGCTCCGCGGTAAAAGGTGCTGCCGCGGCTGCCGTTCTTTGTTCTGAATGATGCAATAAAGGAGTTAAGCATTCAGAGTCTCCTGCGTATCTCTCGCCCACAACTTAACAGTGGGGTTGACTGCTTTCTCCCTATCGACAGCAATTGGGACTGGCCCTCGGAGAAAGGGATTGGACCAGTGCAATACTGGGCCACTCAGCCACAAACCCTTTAGTCAGCTCAAAAGGATACTATGGTCAATGGTACTAAAAGCCGCTGAGAGGTTAAGGAGATCAAGGCTGGATGCACTATCCCCATCATGCTTTTGCCACAGATCATTCACAAGTGCAACCTATTAATTAATTAATTTTTCATGTTTCTAAACTGCCCATATCCCTCAAGAGATGTTGTTTCTGTCCCATAACATGGCCTGAAACCTGATTCGAAGGGGGCCACATAATCCATTTTATCCAGGACCTTCTGGAGCTACAACGCAACAACTTTTCCCACCAATTTTCCTATTTCTCACATATGTCACTTTTTTATATATATGCAAGGCTGAGATTTTTAAAAAATCTTTTTATTGAAGATTAAAATTATGGGTAAGAAATTAACAAAGGAGAATATAAAAAAGAAAAATAGAAAGTGCAAAAGGGAAAAGGAGGGGAAGGAAAAATATATAAAAAAAGAAAAAAAACTTTCCCTTAATTAAGTATAAACATTTATAAATTTTATCTTTTTCTTCTTGTGCCATATCCGTCATCGGATGTTGGCAATCATGTTGGTGATCCTATTTTTATCAACTGCCGCATGAAAAAGTGCTATTGATTTTTGTCCAAACCAGTCCCTTTGAAGTTTGAAGGCATGATGTTCCGCCAATAAACTTAATACATTCTCTAATATTTCAACCAAAACTCTCTTCAGCCTATAATCTCATCTTTTAACTATTGGCAATAAAACACCATCTTTCAATCTTAATCAGCAAAACTCCCTTAAGAGCTACCAGAAATATCCATCCATCCTTTAAACAAGCCATTCATAATTATTTCCTGTACTTTACACAATACCTTGTCATTTTTCCTAAAACTTTATTCCCATGTCACATTTTGTATCTATAAATAAATCCTTAAAATCTCATCATTCAAACTTAATCAGGAAAAATTCCATTAAGAGAAAAAAGAACTAATTGAAAATATTAATATTTAATCCCTTCAAATGATGTCCCACGAATTAATTTCTTTTCATCTCCTCTCAATTATAAAACCATAGTTTATCCCTTTCTCTTAAATTACAAAACTCTCTTCTCATATCGTAATCATAAACAAATCTTTAAAGCCTCATCATTTGGTTTTAGTGAAGAAAAAAACCATTAAAAGCTGTTAGAAAAGAGAGGATGATATACAATTTAACCTTAATCAAAAAGGCTCACTTTGCATATAGCAAAGCTGAAATTTTGAATGCCTATGATGTTTTGCTGCATAACTACTGTATTACATAATTAAGCAGCTTTTCAGGCTAGCAGGCAATTTGAAATTTTGAGGAAATGCTTTGTGGGCAATTAACGCTTGTGGGCTCTGATGCTTTGGAAAAGGTTTGTCTATTCATACAATAATTGCTATAATGGCACTCATGAAAAAACTGTTTGCCAAAATATGGATGAGGTTGTTCACTAGATCCTGCTTCAGCCTTTAGGAAGCTCTTTACTGCACAGTACAGAAGGTTACCTTGTCTTTTTTAAAAATATTTTTATTGCTCATTAATAATAACTCAAAAAAGAAAAAAAGAGAAAAAAAAAACCAAAAGTGCTTTAACAAAAAGTGAAAGAAATATATGTCATTATAATACCGGTAACCATGACAATTCTATATGTATTTGTCTAATGCAAATATTATTCAGATAAGTATATATTTCTAATATGTTTATATGACTGTCTTTTTTTAACCATATAAATGAATCCTGTATTTCATTATACCGGTACTTTTCTACAAAGTCTATGTCTATGGGCAATCCATTCGTAGGTGGCCATTGGGTCTTCAATCCATTATATAAATAGAGCTATATGTTTATCTTTCCAATCCTGCGTTATCAATCTTTTGGCCATAGTAAGGACACAGATACATTGTCCAATTACCAAATTTCATGGACTATATGATTCAAAAGAATATCCTGCTCCTAAAATTTTAGCTTTTGTCTATCTTTGTCTTCATTTTGAGCGCTCAATACCCTTCCAAACAAAGCACTGGATTGCTATCCTCCGGTGTGTTTAAAGCTGAAGAAGCTTCTTGGATTAGAAGCTAAACGTCTTCAAAGATAAACCAGGAGGTCCAGTTGCCTCTTGAAAACCATGACCTGGATTACTGAGAATCTCCATAGACCTCCAGTGCAGAGGTGGCATTCAGCAGGTTCTGACCAGTTCTGGAGAACCAGTAACGGAAATTTTGAGTAGTTCGGAGAAGCGGCTAATCCCACCTCTGACTGGAGATTTTACAGTATCCTTTCCCTGCCACACCCACCAAGCCACGCCCACAGAACTGGTAGTAAAAAAAAATTGAATATCACCACTGCTCCAGTGTGTTTATTTTCTAACATGCATGTGGCCGATGTAGGCATACAAGTGGGTGATGCCTTAAGAAAAGACTTTGCTTTTGTAGGTCTTGCTTTTGTACTCTGATTAAGGTTTTAAAATGTTTAAGGTTTTAAAAGATAAAATCTAAAAATGTACCCTGAGGAGGATCAGGAAGCCTGGGGGCTAGGAAGAGATATGGCTGCAAGTACATTAATAACCAAGGGAAATAATACCGGCCCTGCTCATTGGAGTCCATATGCATTTACAGTACATAGATGCACTTTTGTAACACTTTGAAACATACTTTTTGAGTGATGATTTTTATTTTTTTTGTAATATGTGTTCGAATGTAGTGTTTTTTTTTAAATCAAGCTTCCCGTGCTGTAAATATAGCCTATATTCTTAGCACAAATTATAAATATCACACACATTTAAACAACGCTACAGGAACAGCCAAAGTCAAAGGTGATTAAGGCAGAATCTTAGCTAGTCCTAATTAAGCTTGATGGCACTGCTAAATTCTGCTTATGCGAATTTCCATTCCGCAACGATGGACACAACTGGATGAGCTCCCAATTCACTCCTAATAGCTTACTGAATCATTACTGTTACAGCTGTGTTTCAACTGGCTTTTGTTTTTGTAGCTTTTCCTAGGGGGGCAGGATTGCTTGTTGTGCTGCAGGGCTCAGATTGGCAAGGAAGCTGAAACAGAAGGAATATTTGCAACTTCTTTCAGCTCTACAACTCCATTCCGATTTGCCTGGGAGCCCGCAACACTAGTTACTGCTGTGAAATAGTTGAATGGCAAAGAAGCACGAAGCTGAAGGGCTAGTACCCTGCCAGAAATAATCTTCCTGGGAATCAGAGTCATGATGCCAGGCGTGCCAGGGAATATCTTGCTGGTAGGGAGCTTTACAAGGCAGAGATTGAAGTGGTTTATAAAAAAAATAACACTCTTTTCAGCCTCCTTTTATACCACTTCAAGACCCAGAGAAGGGTATAAGTAATTTTTTGGATCTAGTGTCTTGGTGGCATTGATTTACTGGCACTGGAGCTTGGCTAGACAATTTCTAGGCCCTCACAGCTCCTGAACTTCTTGAGGAGAGTGTGGCTTAATAGCTATTTTATTTCTCCAGTCTCAATGATAAAAAATTTGAAGTAACAATAATATAAACCAGCAGAAGTTCCTGTCCTAGAGTTTCATAAATATATTTTAATTGTTTAATCTGATTGTCTAACAAATGAGCAGTCTTACACAATTTGTATGACTCGGAAACTTTCATTAAA